CCCGCCCCGACCCTTGGCGGCACCTGCCCTCAGCGAGAAGGCCCGATCCACCGCAGTGATCCCCCCGCGTATCAGGCACCCGCCCGCCCCTTGAGCTCTCCGGGGGGGGCGGGCGGGGGGGGGGGCAGGCACACACGCGGCGAGGGGGGTCCGCGTTGCCACCGCGGGGCCGGGGGTTTCTCCCTGCCCCCGGGGCGGCTCTTGGCGGAGCGCGGACCCTCAAGAGGGGACGTTCTGATGGAGCGCGCTCCAGGCGTGATATCGGGACGAGATCGCGTGTGCCTCGGGGGCGAATGTACTTCCCACGGTCCGGGGCCGGCCTCGGTGGCACGCATCCGGACGGCCCCCCATTAATGGGCAGGCGCGACGCGGCGGCCCCGGCTCCGGGCCGAGAGACGGGGACGGCAGGCAAGCGGCTGTTGGAGGGCCAGGAAAAAAAAAAAGGTACTAGCCCGAATTCCTGCATGGGTCCCGGAAGCCGGGGGAGAAAAAGCAGCAACAGCAGCAGGCGTCCCTGCGAGTCTATTCCGACACACATACAAGTGCATGTGCGCGGCAAAATGTGCCGGGCCTCTAGAGGGGGCGGTATGCGCATGGACATGCGTGTGTGCATCATACGTGTGCGTGTTTGTGTGTTTGTGGGTGTGTGTGCGCGCGCGCGCGCTTTTGTGCATGAAAACACATTCAGGCACCTGGTGGTGGCGGCGCCGGTGGCGACGACGATGGCAAGGAAGGGGCGGAAGGTGCGGACGATGCGTTGTTGGCTAGCCCGGGCAGCGGCGGGGCAGGGGTATATTCCCCGGGCGGAGCGACGGTCCAGCTGCCATCGGGGCCGCCGGGGGAGCCGTTTGCCGCCGGCCCGGAAGCCGCCTCAGAGGGCGCTTCAGCCGGCGATGACAGGCTCAGGACTTCGGAGGCACTGCGAACCACCTCCTCGGCGTCGGCCAGCAAATCGCGCGGCATGTCCGGCCGCCGGAAAGGCCACACCCGTCGCCACCAGACTGGCCTGGCCTGCTCATCGGAAAGGGCAAACTCTGCAACCAGGGACACACGGCCGGCGTCAGATGGCGATCAGGCTCACGACGTGGCGATGAAGGAGGCCCAGCGAGAGGAAGAGCAGGGGGGGGATGGGAAGGATGGGGGAAGCCAGCGCACCGGCAAAGTTGGAGTCTCGGCCATAGGGCTGCAGGTCGACCGTATTGCCATGCTGCACGCTGCCGTGGATGCGTTTCTCCAGCAGGCGGATTTTGTGGTGTGCCGCATCCAGGTCCGCCTGTGCGACGCTCATGTCTGACAGGAGCTTCAGGATGAGTTGGCTTTGCTGCTCCTCGAGCACCGCCCGGGCGGCATCCTTCACGCGAGATCTAGGTCCGAGGCAGGAGAGCGGTGGTCGGGGTCAGGCGAGGCATCGCCACGAGGGAGGAGGGGGGAGGGGGGGGGCTTCGAGAAGCCCGAGGGCCAGCCACACGGCGGGAGGCACACGCGCACCTGGACCACTCGATGTACACGATGCCGGCTGCCACGGAGGTCAGCAGCAACTCGCCCATGATTTCGGTGGCCAGAGACAGGGCCTTTTCAATGTCCACCGACTGGGGAGCCGAGCGTGAGGCGGGCTAGGGCTCCCCGGCACCCGTCGAGGGGGACGAAGCAGTCGAGGGGAGGCAAGAGGCGAGGGGGGAATTAGGCTCCGGTGCATGGATGGCTCCATGTGGGCGGACGATCGCGCAAGAAGAGCGCGGGCCCTTGGGAGTGTGGCTTGCGTGGGCTGTGGCGGGAAGGAGGGGCGGGGGGCGCACCAGTCCAAGGATCCGCCGTCGGGCATTGATCTCGGCTGTTTGGAACCAGTGTGCGGCCTTGGTGACGCCGGAGACGAACCACGGACTGTTTCGGAGCTGGGCTTGGATTTTCTTCGATATCGGCTTCGAGATGGACCGTATAAGCAACGCCCCGAATTTGAAGAGTGGAAAAGCGGGCAGGACCATGGCCGGCAGAGAAGGAGCACCGGAGGGCGTCGTGAAATGTGTGTGTGTGTGTGTGTGTCGACAGTAGAGATGCAGCAGGGCGGAGGGGGAGGGTGTCTGCGGGACGCGAGACGGCGAGCCAGCCCGTGGACGCCTGAAATATGCCCAATCTAGATCCCGGGCAAGGCCACGGCCGAGGGAAGAGGCAGGTGGGCCACGGCCCCTGCCCTGCCTTCTGGCGACGATCTCGCCGGCCCGCGGTCGGCCGTTCCAGCCCCCCCCCCCCCCCCCCCCCCCCCCCCCC